ATCTTCTGTTACCGAAATCAACAGCATTGCGCTTCCTTCAGGAAACATTCCATGACTTTCCAGATTCTTAAATAATAAGATGAAATGTCACGTGAAAATTTGAAAATAATTTTTCGATAGTTTGATCACCGCTTTGCGCATGCCCGTCGCCATTTTGGTCGCAGTGCCTACAATGATTTTCGTCTTCGGTCTGGTGAAGTTATTATTATTGTGTAATATTATCATTTTTAACTCGTGGATACGCGAAGCGTAGCAATGTTCTTGTATGTGAGCAATAGATGTCGCTCGAGGCAACTAATAACTATAACGAAAATTCGCTCCAATAAATAATCCGTAATTTAAAGACTTGAATGAAGACAAATTAAATAGAAATTAACCAATCTAAACCAATTTCTATAAAATATTCGCTTAGTTCACAGTGTAAGCAAAGTGTTTTATGAAAAAACTTCAAAGCGCCGTGACCCTTGAAGGTCAAGATAAGTAGTAACGCATAACGCAACGCTTTTTGTTAGCCAAAAAGAATGATTCCTGAAATAAAGCACTCARCCTGACTTTTAAATTAAAAACAAAATCCAGGATTCGTTTTTCAGAAGACTTAGCAAATATTCCGTCGAAGTCGAATTCGTCTTTCGTAATAGACCTTATTGGTGGTGTGACAATGTTTTCCCAATATTCAGCGTAACAAATCTCTGGGGGAATGAAGAGCTATTGTTTTGAAACTCGTCGGGATATCATCATTATTCCTTTCGTATCCTTTGGGATACTCATGAATATTTTCGTATCCTTTGGGATACTCATGAATTCTTCGATGAGTAAAAACAAAAGAAAGTGAAATCCCCTGGAGGTTCGTCACGCTGAATTGGGAAAAAATTGTCACACCTAGAATAAGGTCTATTGAAGTGGCTTCAGACAATCAATTTATCACAACCAATTCGCTTCCAAACTCAACAAAATAACAAAGAACTAAACGAAGTAGGTGTTAAAAGGAAAGTAAAAGGACGACTTATCATCTTGCCAATAAATTGAGTATTTAAAATATGAAAAAAATAAGGACACAGAAAGCCCGGTCTCTGTAACGTCGACTATAGTATCCACGAGTTCGCCATAGKGCGGTTTGATTCTATACAGAGCTTATTTACACCATCTGGTTTAATCAGGAATACTGAAAACCAGCATGAAGTAAGATTAATTTTCTTGAAATAAAAAAAACTGTGTGTATGGTTCTGTGGTACGCTGACCGTACGAACGCAGGCTTGGAATTTGACGAAGCGGCCATCTTGAAAATATGTTGAATGGATGAAGAATCTCTTTAGAGCTTACAAACTGCGCCGTAGAAAATATCTTACCTTAAACACAGGATAATGTCCTCGCTTATCACCAGCGAACAAGATATAATCCTTTTCATCCCAAAATTTATAAGGAAACTTGATGAAAATCTTGGTGTAGACAGACAAGGGCATTTTCAAGATGGCTTCTCGTTTCCATTCTGGTAATGGAGGATTGAATGTGACCATGTCACTGGCGAGAACTCCTGTACTGAATGTACAAA